CGGAGGGGAAACCCGGAGGGCACTTTTCGGGCGGACTCTGTAACCTTGCGTCGCGTGATAAAAATAGACGTGGAGGGAAGGGTTGGCTGGTGCAGGGGAGCTGGGTGGGACGGGGCAGTTTCCCTTTCATTCCTCGGCCAGACTCACAGGCGCGCAAACTACATTGCAGGTGAGACAGTTGGGTGTGAGTCAGACTCTCTCTCTCTCTCTCTCTCTCTCACACACACACACACACACACACACACACACACACACCCTGGTGTGCCCACACTCCTGGGGCGTTGTGGCCTCGCACCTTCGGGTTGTTCGGGTCCTGCCTCCGTCCTCGCGCGGCCAGGACCAAAGGGCACCCGGGGCGCCTGAACGCAGCCTCTGGCCCTGAGTTCGACTCACGCCCCAGACCCGAGCGCGCGCCTCCGCGGAGGAGGCTCCACGGAGTTCCCTCTCGCCCCCGGGCCACGCCGCCCGGGGCAGCCTCTGGCACCCCGAGCTCTGCTCTGCCCGCAGCTCTCCTCGCTGCCTGAGCGGGGGCCGCCGGCGGGGCACGGACGCCGCTGGCTGCCCGGTGCCCTCCCGGCGCTGCCGGTGCCCGGGGAGAGCCAGGGCTCCCGGCCGGCGGCCTCCGAGCCCAGCCCCAGGCGGGGACAAAGAGACGCGCTGCCCGGGACGGCCAGGGCAGGGCCCGCGGCGGCGCTGTCCGCGCCCCGCCACCCACCCGCGCCCCGGTGCCCGCCCGAAGGCCCCCTCTCTCCCCCCCTGCTCCTCTTTGTTCACATTGTCTTGGACTCTAGGGTCAAGATGGTGAAAGTTGCTAAGACTTGAGCGCGGCTGCTGACGGCGTGCGGGAGAGAAGCAAAGTCCAAGAACCGGAGCACCGCGCTGGAGAAGCAGACGAAAGGCTGGGGGGGGGGGGGGGGGGGGGGGGGGGCCCGGGGGGGGGGGGCGGGCGGGGGGAGTCAGCCTCTGGCGGAGAAGCCCCGGGGCTGGCCCTACTCTCACCGGGGGGTTTCAGCCCCCAAAGGCTAAGGCGGCAATGAATTTGCAGATTTCACGGGTGTTGGAGGTGCCCATTCCTGGAGCGACCTTCCCCTGCCCCCGCAGGGCCCCGGGGAGACGAGTGGGGCCCGGTGACCCTCCCCTCTGTCCACACCCACACCTCTGCCGCAGTCCGGGGTCACCGGCAGTCAGGGCGCTGGTTCCGAGCGCCGGGGCTCACAAGTTTGCACTGCGGAAGAAGCCTGCGGTGGGGCGTTTTACAGCAGTCTCGTGCCGGAGTCAGGGAGCGGGCTGTAACGCCGACTGCGGGGAGGCAGTGCCACTTCTCCTAAACCCTTAGAGTAGCTCGCATTAATCACCCCAGGCTGTCAACAGCCCCGGGTGAAGCAGGAGTGCTGCTAGACCCCTTGGGTACAAAATGCCAGGTTGATTTAAAAAAAAAAAAAAAAAAACTGGTAGAGATGAAGAGAATGAAATGCAGACGGGAAGGCGCTTTGTAAAGGGATGGGGAACAGGGCGCAGACATTTCCACTGAGGGCTGGACTGGGGCCGTTTTCCACCAGCTGTCTCCAACCACGTTCCTTAGGTCTGAATTTAGCCCGCTAGCCTATGAGCAAGGACCATTTCCGCCTCCCGATCTTGAAGCATCCTGTCCCTTTAAAAGTGATGCAGCAGCAGGAGAGAGTAAAGTCGCTGACCCAGCACTTCCGCAGGTAGAGCCAGCAGCCTGCTCTTCCCACCTCTCCCCCCCCCACCCCCCCGTTAGCTCAGTCCCCCTTTCATCCGCCTCCCTAACTCCGGCTTCCTGCTGCTCTCCTGACTCCCTGCCTCTCTGCTCGCCCATCAGGTTTCTCTGCTGCCTACCCTTGGTCCCTTTTCCTGCGTGGTAGTAGAAACGCTGACCTTGTCTCCCGGACCCTATCACAGTCTTCCCGGCAGGCACCCCACTCCTCCACCCTAACCTCTTCGAGGTTGCTTCAGGCCCTAGGACGTTTTACCAGTGCTCCTCAGCCAATGCGACAAGATGGTGGCTTTGCTTGTAGACACTCATGGCATAATCAGCTGGCTTCATTACACCTGCTGGGTACTGGCCTTCGGAGTAAGAGGCACAGAATAGTCAGGACACTGCGTCTTCACACCCTTCCTCGAATAGCCCCCCCCCCCCGCATTTCTACACACGGGGCAGTAAGTCAATTCTAGTCAGTGCTAATCCCCAAATTCTCTAATGCCCTCTCTCCTCCGGCTGCCTTAATCCCTCTTGCTTGTCACTTTCTCCCCCTCTTACCTGTGTTTTCTCTCAGGTTTGAATCTGTCTTCTGCTGTCGTCACGTTAGTGCATGGGCCCAGACTGGAATGCATGGTGAGAGTCCACAGAACTGTAGCATGGCAGCCAACATCCTACCTGCTCTCACTGTGGTAGAGGGTACCACAGTTGCTGTGCTCCTGGTTTAGATACATGTATGGAAACATGGCCTATAAGTTATCAAGTTCTCCACGTGTGTGTGCACACACACCACAATCAGCACAGAATCCTTCCCTTCCAGGAACAATGACTGCATGGCCAGGCCACAAGCCTTCATTTTCTATTTTCTCCATTCTCCCACCCCCACCCACAACCCTTCACTCTGCTGATGGCATGGGGAGAAAGGGAAACGTCATGGCTTCCCAGACTGACCGCATGGAAAAGTCTGAGCTTGCAGGTGCAGAACCATTGCAGCGAGCACTGGATTGCTTCCGGTGCTGCAGACTCTCCAACTACTTTTGTGCTTTTCGTCCATTCTACCCTCAAAACTAACTTTGTGATGTGAATACTATTTTGCTGCATTTTTCTGATGACAAGAGTGTGGCTTACAAAGACTAAGTAACCCATCACCCCATTGCTAAGGAACCGTGGCACAACAATATCACCTGTCGTAACAGGCATATCCTTGCAGGGTGCAATCCCAGCACCCCAGAGGTTGAGGCTAGAGCATGACAAGTTCAAAGCCATCCTGTGCTATATAGATGAACTATCTCAAACACAACCAAAAAATAAATACATGAGTTTTTACAAAGTGAATATCAGGAATAAATGTTGAGTATATGTACTTGACCCACTGTTCTGGGTGTATGTAACACACTTAGATAAGTTACATAAAACCCAGTTATAGTAAGAGGAAAAGGATGGGATTGAGAGGATCCTCAGAAACGGAACTTTAAAAAATAAAAAAAGTACCAGAAGCATATGAAGAAATGTTTTTGAATCATCCTATGGACACAAAAAACTTGAACAGATTTAAAAAAAATATGGTAATTCTAAACAGAAAAAAATCTCAATTTTAAAAATATACAGTCCTTCCTAGATTAATCTAAAGCTTAGCATGATTACAGTAAAAGTACCTACAAATTGTTATATTAGCCACATTGCTGCTAAAGATAATCTAGAAAACTCAATTGACAAATTTTTAACAAGAAAAAAATTAGAGGTTAACTGATTACAAAATTATCATAAAATAATTTCAAATATTTTTAAATCCCAGTAAAAAAAAAGAACACATTACAATATAAATAACTGGATAGGGCAACAATAGTCTATAAATTTTAAGAATATGAGAACACATTAGAATTTAATGTAAGATAATTAATGAGGAAAATTAACTAGTGAGTAACTGTTTCTAAGAGGCCACTGGGAGGAAGCGAGCTTTCCTTCACACTGGAAATGAGGCTAGAGAGGAGCAAATACTTAAGCGTGAATTTAAATTGTAACAAGTACTAAAAGAGACAATGGAGACATTCCTTTACACTCTGAGTGGTAAAAGCCTTCCTAACTGGATTGCAGAAGTCAAATGCCTGAAAAAGGATGTTGAAAAATCCAACTACATACAAACTATAGCTGCATAGGGAAAAGCCAAATTCAAAAGATGAAATAAAACAAACGGTGCCTGTCAAGTTGAGGGACTATTTTTCCTGTCTATGATTAGGATGCCTCTGCTGGGCACAGTGACACATGACTGGAATCCCAGTACTTGGGAGGTGGAGGTAGGGGGCATCAGGAGCTCAAGGCCAGTTCAAGAACAGCTGGCCAGATAAGACCCTTTTCCAAAAGACCAAAATAATAATAGTAATGGTGCTGGTGATGATGATGATGATGATGATGGTGATGGTGATGGTGATGGTGTCGGTAGTATTATAATATAATAATAGTGATCATCGTCTGGT